GGGAGACTGCTCAGTCAACACAAATCAGGGACAAGAGAGGTGTCATGAAACTTTAAAGTTTCGTGATTCCTTAGATGCTGAAGTTGGTCTCACCTTCGGATGGGGCGTGAGACTTGTGACAAAGGTGCTGTCAATTCACAGCCCTCCCTGAAACATGGTCAAGCTGAACTTAGAGATGGAGAAATGAGACCTTGTCATGGTTTAAGCCCAGTCGGCAACCCAGAACCACGCAGCTGCTTGCTCACTACCCCTCCCTCCCGCTTCCTCCCCCCAGTCCCGGAGGGATGGGGAGGAGAATCGAAAGAATGTAACTCCCACGGGTTGAGATCAGAACAGTCCAGTAACTAAGGTATAACACAAATCACTGCTGCTACCACCAATAATAATAATGATAAGGGGAATAACAAGGGAAGAGAATACAACCACTCACCACCCACTGACCGATACCCAGACTGACCAGAGCAGTGATCTAGCCCTTCCAGGTAACTGCCCCCATTTATATACTGGGCATGACGTGCTATGTTATGGAATACCTCTTTGGCTAGTTTGGGTCAGGTGTCCTGTCTCTGCTTCCTCCCAGCTTCCCCTCCTCCCTGGCAGAGCATGAGGCTCACAAAGTCCTTGGTCAGAGTAGACATTACTGGGCAGCAACTAAAAACATCAGTGTTATCAGCGTTGTTCCCAGGCTGAAAGTCAAAAACGGAGCACTGCACCAGCTACTAAGAAGGAGAAAAGTGACTGCTACTGCTGAACCCAGGACAGACCTCAAGACTTTCAGGGATCAAGCACCTTTCACTGAAGTGGTGGGAAAGGTTGGCAGATACTCTGAGTATCTGCCAGCACTCAGAGGAAGAGGGAAAATGCAGAAGCACCACAGCTGGTGGATACAAATCTGTTCTAGCCGCAATTACCCTAACATACAGGTGTTCAAATGCATCTCCAACCACAGTCACTCCTGATGTCCAGAGCTATGTAAGATAAAAGCCAAGTCATTAATTAGGCATTGATACCTCACTCCACAGGAAATGGTTTCTCTTTCTGCACTACTCTCTTGGATGCTCCCTCTCCTTTCCCCTTAGTCCTTAACATTTCTACATTGATGTACCAGGCTTTCCAGCTGTCCATCCAGGTCTTTCCTGAGACCTGATGATTTCTCATGCCCTCTGATAGAGGCTTTTCCATTTTCAAGAGTTTTTTTCAAGTGTTAATAATCCACCAGGGTAATACTGTTGGAGAAAAGGAAATACAAACAGAAACTCTAGCAGTGGGGCTCCAGGAAACAGAATTTTACAGGGCTGACCCAGCCTTTGTCCCTGAGATAGAATCATAGAATCATAGAATAATTAGGGTTGGAAAGGACCTTAAGATCATCTAGTTCCAACCCCTCTGCCATGGGCAGGGACACCTCACACTAAACCATATCACCCAAGGCTCTGTCCAACCAGGCCTTGAACACCTCCAGGGATGGAGCATTCACAACTTCCCTGGGCAACCCATTCCAGTGCCTCACCACCCTAACAGGAAAGAATTTCCTCCTTATATCCAATCTAAACTTCCCCTGTTCAAGTTTTAACCCGTTACCCCTTGTCCTATCACTACAGTCTCTAATGAAGAGTCCCTCCCCAGCATCCCTATAGGCCCCCTTCAGATACTGGAAGGCTGCTATGAGGTCTCCACGCAGCCTTCTCTTCTCCAGGCTGAACAGCCCCAACTTTCTCAGCCTATCTTCATATGGGAGGTGCTCCAGTCCCCTGATCATCCTCGTGGCCCTCCTCTGGACTTGTCCAACAGTTCCATGTCCTTTTTATGCTGAGGACACCAGAACTGCACACAATACTCCAAATGAGGTCTCACAAGAGCAGAGTAGAGGAGCAGGATCACCTCCTTTGACCTGCTGGTCACGCTCCTTTTGATGCGGCCCAGGATACGCTTGGCTTTCTGGGCTGCAAGCGCACACTGCCGACTCATGTTCATTTTCTCATCAACCAACACCCCCAAGTCCTTCTCCGCAGGGCTGCTCTGAATCTCTTCTTTGCCCAACCTGTAGCTGTGCCTGGGATTGCCCCGTCCCAGGTGTAGGACCTTGCACTTGGCATGGTTAAATTTCACCAGCCCACCTCACAAGTGTGTCAAGGTCCCTCTGGATGGCATTCCTTCCCTCCAGGGTATCAACCGAACCACACAGCTTGGTGTCATGGGCAAACTTGCTGAGGGCACACTCAATCCCACTGTCCATGTCAGTGACGAAGATGTTGAAGAAGACCGGTCCCAACACCGATCCCTGAGGGACACCACTCGTTACTGGTCTCCAGCCGGACACTGAGCCATTGACCACAACTCTTTGTGTGCGGCCATCCAGCCAGTTCCTTATCCACCGAGTGGTCCATCCATCAAATTGATGTCTCTCCAATTTAGAGACAAGGATGTCGTGTGGGACAGTGTCGAACGCTTTGCACAAGTCCAGGTAGATGACCTCAACTGCCCTACCCCTGTCCATCAGTTCTGTAGCCCCATCATAGAAGGCCACCAAATTGGTCAGGCAGGATTTCCCCTTAGTGAAGCCATGCTGGCTGTCACCAAGCACCTTGTTGTTTTTCATGTGCCTTAGCATGCCTTCCAGGAGAATCTGCTCCAAGATTTTGCCAGGCACAGAGGTGAGACTGACTGGTCTGTAGTTCCCCGGGTCATCCATTTTCCCCTTCTTGAAAATGGGGGTTATATTTCCCTTTTTCCAGTCATCAGAAACTTCACCTGACTGCCATGATTTCTCAAATATGATGGCCAGTGGCTTAGCAACTTCATTTGCCAGCTCCTTCAGGACCCGCGGATGGATTTCATCAGGACCTGTGAACTTGGGCACGTTCAAGTTCCTAAGATGATCTCTAACCAGATCCTCTCCTACAGTGGGCCCAAGGTCTTCATTCTCACAGTCCCTGCATCTGCCTTCCAAGACTTGGGTGGTGTGGTCAGAGCCTTTGCCAGTGAAGGCTGAGGCAAAGAAGTCATTGAGAACCTCAGCCTTCTCCAAATCCAGGGTAGCCAGTTCTCCCGATAGCTTCTGGAGAGGGCCCACATTGCTCTTAGTCTGTCTTTTATTTGCAGTGTACCTATAGAATCCCTTAACATCCCTAGCCAAGTTTAATTCTAACTGGGCCTTAGCTTTCCTAACCTGGTCCCTAGCTTCCCGGACAACATCCCTGTACTCTTCCCAGGCTGCCTGTCCTTGCTTCCACTTTTTATAAGCCTCTTTTTTTCCTTGAAGTTTCCTCAGCATCTCCTTATCCATCCAAGGAGGTCTCCAGGCCCTCCCTGAGCTTGTAGTAGGTGATCCTTGAATATCAACCAACAGACTTGGGCCGGCCCCCCTGCCCTCTAGGGCTATATCCCATGGAACCTTTCTAAGCAGGTTCCTGAAGAGGCCAAAGTCTGCTCTCTAAATAGATAGCTCCACCATGCAGGATTGACGCACTCAGGCCCAGATGATGAAGATAGTCACAAGAACTATGTCTTTTTAGGAGAAATGTCATCTTAGGGTGACAGAGTTTACAAACAACTGAAGCTTTCCCAGGGCTTCAGAAGAGTCTGTCTGCTAACATCAGGAATAACACCCTCAAGGAGTCATATCTGCATTATCGCATGAGGCTGCAGTCATGTCTGGGTCACCACCAGGGAGTTTTTGTAGCCAGAATCTGACGTCTTTTCCACAGGACATGACAGTGACTGAGGAGTGGGAGGGGAAAAACATGAGCCACATGCAATGGGGTAAGCTGGAAGACTTCAGCTTTGTTGCACGCTGATGAAAAGGGCACCTACTCCCTGTTCATCAGGACAGGGCCAAAATGTTTCTGCCACAGTGGATCTCCTTGGCCAAGTCATCCCACAACATGGTCAGAGGTGGTTTTAGGGTAAAAGGAACCTCTGGAGGTTGTTTAGCTCAACTTGTTATTCAAGGCATGCCTCTGAATAATAGCAAGTTCTCTCATCCAAGGATGTGGATCCAGAGCCCAGTGATATGTTTAGTTATGTGATGCAAACACATGATATGTGCACATCGCTGGTGTGCATTTGCACAACTTCAAGTAAACTTTACTCCTTTCTTCCTTTACTCCCAATGACATTAATCAGTATGACCTCCCTCTCCCACCACAGGTTAGGGAGTAATGTTTTAAGATCCTATCTTATACCCCTCTCTGCACTTTGATGAGCACACCATTACCATACCCATTCATGAAACACCAACCCAGACTTGTGTGATCCTTCAGTAACTTTGCTGCAGGCTCAGACATACTATCTGTGCTGAGACTGAAGGGCAAAAAAATTGAGAGAAGACACGAAGTGAGCAGAACAGTGTCCTTATAGCTCTGGTGAAAGCAGTCAGGACACCTTTGACAAATCGCACACGGAATTTCATACACTGAGAACAATCTGGCTTTCCAGTTTCCATGAATAAAGACTCAAACCACTCTGGGAGGCTGTCCAGGCAGCAGCTCAGATGTGCAGCAGAAATCAGGTCAATCTGCTTTTCAAGTGACATCAGAACCTTGAACAAAGCCAAGCTGGTGTCATTTCTTATCCCCAAATCCTGTGTGCTCTTGTATGTCTGTGTGCATAACGTGCTTTGCTTTTCTTAAGGGTACTCTCTAAGCCAAACCTATTTTAGGATTCTCCTCAAAACACGGTAGTTTAGGTCCAGTTTTAAGACTAACCAAAGTTTCTACATAGGGCAAATTAAAACTGACATCTTGGGACACAGTCGTCAAGATGAAGTCTGCTTGAGTACCAGCAGTATTTCCTGGCCCAGAGAAGTGCTTTTCTGCTTCGTATTCCTACAGTCTCCAGAATGGGCTATGTATCCATTATGCCATTAATGAGAGCAGCAAATTTACTCCGTTTGCTTTACCACACTTAGGAAAATCAGCCCTCGCTTGCGGAGTCACAACTCCACATCCCAGGAAAAAGCCTTGCACTGCATCACAGTTGCTTTTAGGAGGCCTGGGAAGACAAGCTGTCCCCGTGCTGCTCGCAAGACTGGCAATGCTCTGGTACCTTTGTTCTAACATCAAGAACAGGGAGGGAAGGGCTGGTGACAAAGTACACCCAGGAAGACTGCAGTGTACCATCTTAGCAGATAAATGTGCTGATACAAGTGCTAAATTTATCACACCTGATTAGGGGTTTAGTGCTTCCATAGTTTAAACATTAATATTTGCCTATTTAAGCAATGTGCCCTAGTGCAGCCTGTCCACAGATGTAGTCACCATGACTGAGTCTGGAGACTTCATAAGTGCTCTGGGGGAGTTTGGGCTGTATCAGAAATTTCTGGTACTACTCATCTCCATCTCCCTACTTCTTAATCCTTTCCAAATGATTGGCCAAGTGTTCATGGTTCTGGATGAGCCTCATCACTGCAACACCAGCTGGATCCGTGCCATTGGCCCCAACCTGACAGAGGAAGAGCAGCTGAACCTCACCCTGCCCCGGGATGCGGATGGGGCATACGAGCAGTGCTCCATGTACTCGCCGGTAGACTGGGACCTCGACTCCATTGTGGCTTATGGCCTGAATGCCACGGAGAAGTGCAGCAGTGGCTGGGTGTACCCCTCAGCACAAGCACCGTCCCTCCTGACCGAGGTCTGTAATCACCTTTTGATGTGCCGGGGATATGGAAGGGAAAGGGTGGGCATATCTTGTCCTGTAGTTTGGTAAGCCAGTGTCAGCTATGGTGCAGTCAGACTGAGATTTACACCAGGCACTGGGGGACCTTGGCTCCATCACACAGACTGCAGCTTTAATAACTGGGAGGTCGTTGCAGAAGGACCATGATGTAGATGCACAGGGGGACCTTAGGCAGAGGTCATGGGGGTGTGAGTCTAACGCATGCTCTGCCCACCATCCCTCCCCTTTCCAGTAACCAGGCCCTTGAACCCATGATGTATCTTGCCTGGAGTGACATTCTGAGTCTCCCTGCCACAATTTCCCTTTTCATGGCCTGGTTACATCACCTTTTCCATGAAAGATATTTGCCTTCCAAGGGCTTGCCATTGATATTTCTGGGGCCTCCAGAGACACTGAGGGCTGTTACAAGACATTCCATAGACCAGACAGTTGAGCAAAGGATCTGTCTGTCAACATCCCCAACTCTTCCCTCTCTGGACATCTGTTCCCGTCTCACCTTCCCTCAGTTCTCCCTCCCTCCCTTCTTTCCTCATGCCCAGCTCCAGGACTTCCTCACGAGTTCCTTCTCCTGAGCTGAAACCAGAGGAGAGAGGCCAGCCTCTAGCATTTACAAAGTCTCCTTGGGGTCCCTGGAGCACTGTGGCCATTTCACATCCAGCTTCTCAGAGGCTTCTCAGCAGCTGTTGCATCCCTTCCCACTCCTGCACCAGTCCTCCCTTATGAGAGAAAACAACACTGCCCTCCTCCTCCTTCCACCCTGCCCTGCCTTAGCAGCCAGAGGGAAAGCTACCAGGACTCTTGCACCAAGGTCATACTTTAAGCAAAACTTGCCAACCAGGAGGATCCCTTGAGGATTCCCAGGCTGGAGGGGAGTCCTACAGGTCCCAGCACACGAGAGATGTGCACCACAATGAAGAGGCAGGCTGAGAACCTCATACGCTTGTCCCACCACTGGTCTGTGTTCTATGTAAACACCATGGAGGTTTATGTCTTTGTCAGTGGGTTCTCTGCTCCCAAGGGCTGGAGCAAGAGCTCAGGCACCCACCTCCTGGATCCACCATGGACCTGAAGGGCTGCCAACCCTCAGAAAGCAGCTGGAATTTGTCAAGAGCAAAAGCTGCTGTGTTTTCTTCCTCCAGTTTGACCTGGTGTGTGACAGGAAGGACCTGAATGACATCTCCCAGTCCATCTACATGCTGGGGCTTCTCCTAGGATCCATCATCTTTGGGCCACTGAGTGACAGGTAAGAAAACACAGACGCCTTCTCAGAGTTATTGCCCGGCACCCAGGGAGAGGCCAGTTAACTGTTCAGGATGTCCATGCACTTGAGCATGAACTACTCCCACCTTGCCTGAGCAAGGGTGTCTGGGGCCACCTGATATGTCTGTAGATGTCTGAGGGCTGAAAAGGGAAGGAAGCAGATACAGCCTTATGAGGGAATCCCTCAGGAATCACACTTCTAGCCCCAACAGGTGTCTTAGCTACCCAAGAGTGTCTCCAGGAACCCCAGAAACCTGAATTCTGGCACAGAGTTGGACCCACATTCACCTATGTCAACCAGACTATGTTTCTCTCTTTCCTGTTGCTCTGCTCAGCTTATGGTGACCAGGACCAAAGTTCTCAGCTCCTTAGAGGGCATGGACACACAGGGGACATGGAAGGGAGAAAGGCACAGCATGTGTGCAGGGTGCCTCATAGGGGAACCAACAACACAGTCCATTTCAGTTCTCAAGAGAGAGGCCTTGGGGGTCCTTCAAGGGCTGGTTCCTTTTACATCATTACCTTTGCCTTTGCTAGCACTGTGGTGGTTCTAAAGTAGAGATGTCCTTTTTTTTTTTGCCAGTTATGTCTGGGAACATAAAAGGAGTTTTGCTCACATGGATGTCAAATCTCCTCTGGTGTGAATGGTTCTTAAATAACTTTGTATTCCACACATCCCCATGGGATCTCTCTAGATGCCAACTGTGTCTTCCCTCTTCTTCCACAGAATAGGCCGTCAGCCTGTATTTCTGATCTGCATGCTCATCCGTGGCTTGTTTGGTGTAGGAACTGCCTTTGTGCCCCATTTCTATGTGTACATGGCCTTCAGATGTGTCGTGGGGGCTGTGGAGGCAGGCATTATGATTATTGCCTTGGTGCTGGGTGAGTAGGGTGCTCTTGCCCTGAGGCAGAAAGACGTGGCCTCACAAGATGCAATAACAAAAGACAGTGCTTCACGTTTTGAAAAGGGTGACACTAAACTTTCGTTCTTCTTCTCAGCTACAGAATGGGTCGGTGTCTCCCATCGGTCAAAAGCAGTGCTTATTACTCACTGCTGCTTCGCCATTGGTCAGATGATTGTCCCTGGCTTGGGTTACGGTATTCGCAACTGGAGGCTGCTGCAGATTGCAGGATCTGCTCCTGTATTTGCTCTTTTCTTCTACATCTGGTAAGCAGGAGCAGGGCAGAACTTCCTGAAGACATGAGAGCAGCGGGTGTGAAGGGTGGCAGTGAGGAGGTATCAGCTCAGGAGCAGGCTGGGTCTTCCCCATTAGAGTATAGGTGATGAAGGGACTTCTGCAGACCTCAGCACATCTCCTTGGAACACTGGACCTCTGAGAGCAGCAGCTGCTTTGCTGCAGGCCCTCAAATATGGCCTTTGAAGCCTAAAGGTAGAGTATGTAATGCTCATTGCTTGCAGGATGTGGTAACAGGGAGGTGGGCTGTGGGAAAACCCAGCAGGTCTCAGCAGCATCTCTGCATTTCATCCCCTTGGCAGGGTGCTCCCAGAGTCCGCTCGGTGGCTGGTGATAAAAGGCAGGATAGAAGAAGCTAAGAAGGTGCTTCAGAAGGCAGCATCCATCAACAAGCGCACCCTCCCACCGGAGCTCCTGGAGCAGGTACCTGCAGGGGCTGCAGAGCTGCTTTCCTCTGCGCTTGTGTTTGTAGCAGCCCTGGACACCCTTCCATGTTTATGCCGTGGACGCCCTTCCGTGGCCACTGGAGATGATTTGGGGATGGATGGGGGTGACTCCAGCTTCAGCTGCGCTGCACCCAGACAAGGCTGGGGAAGAGGCTCAGCTGCTGTTGGTGACGAGCACGAGGTCTCTGTTCAGTCTGTTGTTTCCCATGCACAAATGCCCGAAGGGGGTCACCTCCTTGCCCACCCCAAAGCCCTGCACTTCGGAGATGTTCGTGCCCAGGAACCTCTTGCTCACCAAAGCAGTGCACTGGGCACGCAGAGCACAGGCACAGGAGCCCAGCCCCAGTGAGCCTCCTGCCCTCCCAGAGCAGATCAGGGTCACAGGCGTGTCCCACTGGGGCTTTCCTTTGGCTGCAGATGGAGAGGAGCCCGCCAGGGGTTTCCTTTGCCTGCTCTGACTCTGCCTTTCTGCATCTGGCAGCTGAAGCCCGAGGCTCAGCCCAAGCCTGGAAGCACTCTGGATCTCTTTCGGAAGAAGCACCTGCGGAAGGTGACTTTAATCATGACCTGCACCTGGTAAGATGTGTCCTGGTCCCCTCTTCCCAAGCTTCTAAGGGAAAAAGAGATTAAGGGTTGACAAGAACTGTAAATTCACTTCATTTGATTTTTGGGGTCACATTTATGACTTTGTGTTCATATGCCGTCTTTCTGTCTCCCCATACTGAACCAGATCTACCTCATCTGGCATGGGGAGAAGCTGATTGTTCACCATACTGTGGGTTTTGTGAGAAAGGCCGGAGGTTTTGGCTACCCCTAGGACTTGGGGTATTTTTCTGTCCCCATAAAAGTTGTGAGTGCAGTGTAAAAGTTACTGACCATGTGGGGATCTATATTGTTTATCTCATGTAATTATGTCCCACAGAATTGTCACAGATGATGACTAGAAGACAGAGGTTTCTGGGAGTTTGAATGCATTATGTGTGGTCTGACCCCCCTTGTTTCTGAGGATAAACCCATAGAAAATACACCTGGCTACATGTTCTATTCCACTTTAATTTCAGGTTTGCAGACAGCCTTGTCTACTATGGGCTGAGCCTTAATGTGTCAGGTTTTGGTCTGAACGTCTACCTGACACAGCTTGCCTTTGGAGGGGTAGAGTTACCAGCTCGATTTTCCTGCATTTTCCTGCTGCAGTGGTTTGGGAGGAAGAAAACCCAGGCTGTTCTCCTGCTGCTGTCTGGCCTGATGTGTCTCGTCATCACTGGCATCCCTGAAGGTGAACAACTTCTTCACTTCCCAAGAGCACAGCCAGGCAGAGCCCCAGCCAGCTCTGTCCTGGTTCAGATCCATCTTCCCAGCCCGGCTGGCCACACACCCACAATCACTAACAGGGGCTGAGCCCCCAGTGTGCTGGCTTCCTCTCTGCATGGCTTTCTCTTCCTTCAGAGCTATGCCTAGTCCTTCCACAGCTCCTGGCCCTTGGCAGGCAGTGTCCATTATACACTGCCAACCACTATAGACACTACCACTTCCTCTCAGGAGGCTGTAGCAGAGGAGGAGTTTTAAAAGCCACCATGTCTCCCTTCTTTAGACAAAGATGAAAAAAATGCCCCCCTCACCCTTACCTGTTTCTGCCTACACATTGCCACATTCTATACCCTCACCCTCGTTGCTGTGCTAGCACTGTGAATAATGATGAAGGAAAGAGAAGGGCTGTACTATGCTTTAAATCTCATGAATGTGATATTTCCAACTGAGCACTCCCTGAAGACCTGTAGTCGCTCAGTGGCTTAATTCAGTTGCAGATTTAGAAAATTCCCATTGTCAGGGTTCTCTTTGTCAGTTGTGCAGATGGTACTTTCCAGATAAGGGTGTGCTAGGAATGATTTTCAATGGGTTAGGTGGTAGATTAGCTTGGTAAGCCCATTAGAAAGGGCTGCCCTAATAAATCCCACTGCAGAGAATTTTCTTCCCAACCGAACCTTATCCATGGAGATCACAATGTAGGTCTCTCCTCCTCCCTTCAGACCAGCCCGTGGTGACCACCATCCTGGCCACCATCGGCAAGCTTACAGCCACAGCCTCCTTCTCCACTTCCTACATCTACTCTGCAGAGCTCTTCCCCACGGTCATCAGGTGAGGTCTCCCCATGCACCAGAGCCTACCCCTGCCATGGCTGGTGGCAGTGCCCACTTGTCCCCATGGCTGCACTCAGCCCATAGTGCCCCATGGGATGGTGCCCCCTGCCCGCCCCTTGCACTGCCCCTCGCTCCCCAGGCAGACCGGCGTGGGGCTGTGCTCGATGTCGGCACGGCTATCGGGGATCATGGCGCCCTTGATGCTGCTGCTGAAGCGGTACCACCGGGCCATCCCCATGGCCGTCTTTGGCAGTGTCACTGTGGTGGTGGGGCTGCTCTGCTTCCTGCTGCCCGAGACCCGTGGCACTGACCTGGCAGATGACATGGGGCTGGAGGACATCAAGGGGGCAACTCCCCAGATGAGGTGGGTACTTGGAGCTCTGACTGTAAGGTCAGAGGTGCACATTTAAGGCAAAGGAAATAGGTCAGAAACCAGGATGGAAACCACATCATCTCTTCCTCTCTCCTTCTTGTCTTCAGTAACAGGAGTCTGGAAACTTTGTCCAAGACAGACACCACCAAGGTTGGAGCAGACTTGGAGAAGAACAACTACAAGTTCTCGGAGAGCAAGTGATGAATGGACAGGCACATACTAAAGGTCTTGTCTAATCCAATCTTTCTTGAAGCAGACCCATGAGGCATTGCTGTCCAGAAACTGGCCTTTCAGATGATCAACAAAGTATTTGTGATTAGAGGGAGAGGAGATGTGTGTTACTCTGTGTTTGGAAACAATGCACTTCAGCCTGTTTCTGAAGCCCAGTCTGTTATGCCTGGCTGCGTGAGTCCTCCCGACGTGTCTCCCAGTCCTTTGCAAACTTGTACCCGTGGAACCATCCCTGTCATGTTTCACAGCAATAAAGAATCGCCAGAAGAGTGGTAGTACTGGGCAAGCGAGTGCCGGGCTGTGTCCCTCCTGCACTAGTCGCTCGGGTCGTCGGTCCGAGCCCTCACATTTGATCAGGATGTCACTGCAACCCTGTCACACACATATTTAGCTTTTCTTTCTATGTGGTGTTGAAGTTGAGTTTCTACATGAATAGTATAAATTATACTCCGAGTTTGATAAGAGACACTTGTAATGCAATATGTGAATAATAAATGGTGTTGACTTTTTTTCCTACTGTTTCACAGTTGGCCTTTGTAACTGCTATTGGCTCTGGAGTGTTTTCTACACAGAAATTGCAAGTCTGTAATTTAGCACGCAGATGGAAACGTGTTTTGTTTCCATCAGCCACAAATAATGCAGAAACAGAGCAGAATGACTGAGTTCAATTAGGACTTTTTTATTTCCAAGTCTTCAGATGGATGATTTATATTGCTTTTCTCTACCAGCAGCTGTGGAAGCTTCTCAAATTGTGTGGTGTATGCTGCAATTCTTAGTTGCCAGCTTGGTTTAAACCACGACACAGTTAAACTGAGTGGACATCTGGACTACTCTCCCCAGTCACGGTCAGCCTTTAACAGTGAACTTGGTTGGTTGCTACCCATTTACCCACAGTAGTTTACACCACCATGTCATCCAGTGTCACACAAAAGAAGCTTGGCTTCCTCTCCTGCCTTACTTGTCTGCAAGCAGAGAATGTATTTGGCACCTTTTCATGCAGCTATCTCTTCAAACCACAGCACTACTCTTGGTCAAAGAAGAAGGCTGGTCACTCAGGTTTGTAGCACCTTTTTGTTTCTGACTGCTTTGTGCTATAGTAAATGATGGTTTGAAGGCTGGGGAGTCCCAAGTGCAGGCCAAGCATGCTTGGAGGTGATGATACTCATCTTGTGTTTTGTCTGCGGTGCACAAAATCTCTCCAATGTTACATTATACCTGGCCGTGGCTGTAGATAGGGCAGGGCATTTGCAGGATCTGGGCTTTGGTGCTGAAGGGCAAAGAAGCTGGTGAAAGGTCTGGAGCACAAGGGGAGCTGAGGGAACTGGGGTTGTTTAGCCTGGAGAAAAGGAGTCTCAGAGGAGACTTTATCACTCTCTACAACTGCCTGAAAGGTGGTTGTAGCAAGTTGGGTGTCAGTAACAAGTGATAGGACAAGAGCAAACAGCCCCTGGTTGTGCCAGGGAAAGTCAGATTGGATATAAGGAAAAATTCCTTAAACAAAAGTGTTGTCAAGCACTGGAACAGGCTTCCCAGGGTGGTGGTGAAGTCACCATCCATGAAGGTATTTAAAAGACATGTAGATGGGGCACTTAGGGACAGGGTTTAATGCTGGACTTGGGCATGTTAGGTTAATGGCTGGACCCAATGATCTTAAAGGTCTTTTCCAACCTGAATGACTCCATGGCTCTACAAGTCCATGATTCATTGCAGAGTCAAGAAATGAGCATTAATGCTGCTTCTCCTCACCTCCTCAACCATTCACTGCTGGATCCCTTCCTGCAAGCTTTGCTCTTGAGCATGAGGAAGAAGAGGACAATGATGTCCTCCAGTCAAGATGCAAGGTCCAGGACATCATCTGACATCCAGAAATTAAGGGTTGCAGCATGGTTTATTGATGTCACTGTCACCAAGGATGCGCTGATTGTCTCAGTGGTCCCCGTGGGGTTCCTCTGGCAACAGGAAGAGCTGTTTCACTCCATAGGTCATCACCTCAGGGAACAGGGCCAGGCCAGGCTCTGCTGCCCCTCCATGCCTTAAAATGTCACTAAATACCTCTGGTCCCACCTGACCAGCTTCTTCAGCAGTGGGGGATGTTGTGATACATAGAATCATAGAACCTGGGTCTCCTCCAAGGAGGTCGAGAAGTTATGACCTGAACACAGACAAATATCAGTGAGGGTGTAAATGCAGGAGCAGGGCCTCACTCCTATGTATGATATAGGAGGGCCTGAAGAAGACTTGGATATTTACTGATATGCCTTAGCAAACCCTTCACAGTGCCCCTGGCATTTCCTCACCACTTCAGCACCTTCCCACAACTGGCCCTCTAGTCGTGGCTTGGTAAGCTACTTCAGTAAGGTCTTGCATCTGAATTTCCCAGTTAAATCTTGTTACCCTATTTTGTCCTCACCTTCTCTTCAACCTTTTGTCTCCCTCCCCTGGGCTATAGAGTCGCCCTCTTTCCCTTATCCTTTCAGGTCACCTAAGGCACTTTTTACCCTTTGTCCATAACCTCAACATGATAAAAGCCCAAAACATCCCATTGTATGTATGTAAAAGTGTGTTTGCATTCTCACATGCTATGCCACCACACCTAGATCAACTCTGTTGTGAGCACTATTTATTACAGTGCAAGACCATGGGTGGACCAGGTAGCAGCAACGATAAGACAAGGTAAAACCATTGAACAACCTCCCATTTCTGCTGAGCAGGTCAAAACAGTCATAAGTCAAAACAGTCACGTGTTTTGCACTATTCAGGTACTCCTCAGCCAAAAGTGGTCTTCAAACTGATCAGGTGCAGTGGTCCAAAAAAAGAGAAGATGAAATGGATCTTCCTTCTGCTGGTGGCACAAATGAGGTGGAAGCAGAAGTACCTCAGATGTGATTGGACGCCTTTATTTATGAAGCTGGCTGAAACAGCATCAGAGCAGACCTCCCCAAAGGAGTTGTGGTTCACTCAATATCTTGGAGCATTTTGCTCCAATCTCTTCTGTCGTGGTTTAAGCCCAGCCAGTAATTCAGAACCACACAGCCTCTCGCTCACTCCCCCCTTTCCTCCCCCCATTCTCGGAGGGATGGGGAATCAAAAGAATGTAACTCCCATGGGTTGAGATCAGTACAGCCCAGTAACTACAGTATAACAGAAATCACTACTGCTACCACCAACAATAATAATGACAAGGGAAGAGAATACAACTTCTCACCACCCGCTGATCGATACCCCTCTCCACTGAGCAGTGAACTAGCCCTTCTGGGTGACTGCCGCCAGTTTTACATCCTGGGCATGATGTGCTGTGGTATGGAATACCTCTTTGGCTAGTTTGGGTCAGGTGTCCTGTCTCTACTTCCTTCTGGCTTCCCCTCTTCCCTGGCAGAGCATGAGACTCTCAAAGTCCTTTGTCAGAGTAAACATTACTGAGCAGCAACTAAAAACATCAGTGTTGTCAGCACTGTTCTCAGGCTGAGAGTCAAAAACACAGCACTGCACCAGCTACTAAGAAGGAGAAAAAATGACTGCTACTGCTGAATCCAGGACATCTTCCCCCAGCCTTTACCCTGAATGCCTTATTTTCTGTAAAAACCAGAAGGAAGCAGCCCACAGCCTTCTCCAAGGAAACAGTGCCCTTGCGCAAAACGCTAGACACTGAAGAGAAATCACTCCCTCTTGCAAGTGTGAGATTGTTTTCAGTGTTGCATCTGCTCTGGCCTTCTCCTCAGTGAGCACAGTACCCTGCTGCAAGTCTTTTCAGTCCCCAGGCAGGTGTCTCACTTGGACAAGGATCAGAGCCTCACATTCTTGAAGACAGGACAGGAAAAAGGAAGAGACAATGATGCCTCTACCCCGTTTGCTTTCTTTTTGCCCTTTGTCACGGTTTAACCCCAGCTGGCAACTCAGCCTCACACAGCCACTCGCTCACTCCCCTCTGGTGGGATGGGGAAAAGAATCAGAATAACAGAAGTGAGAAAACTCATGGGTTGAGACAAAGACAGTTTAATAGTAAAGCAAAAGCTGTGAAGACAAGAAAAGCAAAACAAGGAATTCATTCACCACTTCCCATCATGAGGCAGGTGTTCAGCCATTCCCAGGAGAGCAGGGCTCCATCACACCTAATGATTACTTGGGAGAACACATGCCTGATGGTGACCACCCTTGTAAAATGTCCGGAAATGTCCACAAAATGTCCATTGAGTTCATGCAGTCCATGACTTTGGGCTCCATCTGTTATGGTCACTCATAAGGACAGGAGAAATGGTGTGTTGAATGGAGTTATTAGGCACCAAAGACAGCCCAGGTTCAGGTCACTGCCACACTTGCACTGCTTCATGGAAGGATCAGGTGGTTTCTGCTACAGTAATTCCTATAACACACATCTCAAATATGGGGCTACAACAGTTTAGATGTAATTCCATTACAATCCCCACCCCGGACCCTTTGGACCACACCATAATATTGCAATGAATTCCTTTCCTCGCCCCTGATGCAGCTCTGACTTATCCATAGACCACAGTCCCTTAGGGGTGTACCTGCTCCAACTGAAGCTATATCAATGAGGCACAGTTTCTCCAGAGGTATTCCTGCTGTGGCATAGACTTATCCACAGCTACAGTAATTTTGAGGTTCACCTGCTCCAGCATGGCTAAAGTGCCTTCAGAGAGATACCTGCTGCAGCATGGCCTACCCATGGCTACAGTCCCTCTCTGCCATTGGATTATCCATGTCCCATACTTTGATGTGCTCCAACATGACCTCATGCACAGCCACAAACGCTTAAAGGTGTGCCTGCTGCAGCATGGACTTACCCACAGCCAGAGATGCCTCAAGGTGTACCTTCTCCAGCATGGACCTATCCTTGGGCTACATTCCCTTCAGACGTGTACCTGCTGTGGCACTGACATAACCATGGCCACAGCTGTCCCAGCTGTGTCCCCTCCCAACCCCTTGTGCACCCCCAGCCTGCTCACTGGTGGGGTGAGGAGCAGGAAAGGCCTTGGCTCTGTGCAAGCACTGCTCAGCAGTAACAAACACATCCCTGTGTTATCCAGCACAGATCCAAATCACAGCCCCATACCAGATACTATGAAGAAAACAAACTCTATCCTAGACAAAACCTACACACCCTTACATGAAAAGCATCAGATTTTCTCCAGCAACAGCACTGTAGAACACCAGAGAGCACACAGTGCCTGAGAACAAGCCATAGGGGGAGAGGCAAGAAAGCAAAAAGGAAAGGAAAGACGAGAATTGGCAGTGATCACTTAAGAGGTGGTGGTGTCCTGCAAATGGAGACCCTGCCTGTCCCTGGTGCTGGCACAGCACTAGTTGCCTTCAGCCAGAGCCGCTTGCAGGCCCAGCTAGAACTGAGTGCTCTTTGTGTACTCATTGTCTTGGCCACCACCTTTTCCTTTCACATGTCCATTTTCAGAGCTGCTGTTGGCATTTTCACAGACCTAATGAAAGGGAAAAGAGTTTAAAAGCAAAGAAAGACCCATTCTGAGCTGATGGCAGCCTT